TATACTCATACAGCAAAACATGTCTATAAACCGGCAGTTGACCTCTCACTTCAAACTACCATGGCCTCACTGTAGGTCATATTCAACCACTTTCATAGTACTCATCTTACCCTTGTGTCTGCCACTTATATCTGTGGATCACTCTTCTGTTTCTCCTCTCCACTTGTCGTGATTTTTATGATCCTCCTCTGTCAACTAAAGATCTAGTGATAACTATCATAAAGCCAGTCATTTGATACAAATAACTTTCAGGCCTTATACGACCTCATTTCGACGAGGTGACCCAGATTCACTCGTGTCTTCTTACAGTTATGCACAGGCAATTGAGCGCGCCCACTGATTTACACACAAGGTGCCAACTCCTCTAATGATTGGGCAAGTATAACTTACTTTTAGCGTTTTTTAATTGGTTAAACTTAAATCCTCTTTGTCTCTAAACGTCTTACGTGCATTCTGTATGAGCATTTTTAGTGACATTTGGGTAATTTTGTAGAAAACATGAAAACTAAGAGTCATGCCAAGGAGTAGCTAATCAAATACGAACGAAAGCGTAATTATTTTTTGAAATTTTGAAAGTAGCATATAAAAATCCGATCGGCAAAAGGAGGCATAAGGTATAGATAACCAAAGCGATAAGAAGGAGTGCCCTTTTTTGAACATTCCCCAGAAAATATGCTTCCATAGCAGATCCATAATATAAAGAGAGGAAATAATTGAAAATGAGGTGAGCCTCCATTCATTTCTAGAGTGCCTCACTGAAATAATGGCCAAAGCGGTTGTTTACTAAATCAGAGATGAAGAGATAGATGCAGCCACCGGTGATGTGGATGGCTAATCGCATTGGCTATTTCAATTCGCCCAATGAGAGAGGGACACCGCGATACTTTCTTTCCACCCAGGTCGAAATTGGCTTGAGAAGTTTTCATTTTAGTCTCCATGGGGAGACAATAATTAATTTAACGGCAATTCCTTAACACACTCGGTCTGTAAAACAGACACGCCTTATTCCCACACACCACGCATCGAAAGATGCGTACTTCGTGCCGTTTTTACTAGGGACAAAAATATTTAAATCTTTGCCATCAAGGTTGGCTATAGAGTAGCCGAGTACGGTGTTTCTATTTCATCTTGTACCCCTTCAGATAAAAGAATATTCAAAACAAGAAAAGCTGCGGCACACAAATGAAAAGAGACACCGGCAATAACTGCAAGAATAGAAATTTGGCTGCCTCATGGTAGATATATATATATATATATATATATATATATATATATATATATATATATATATATATATATATCCGCGCAGTGATCAGTACCTCTTTGAACAATTAGCAGCCAAATCACCTGAGACACACAAATGATCGGTTCTTGCGACACTAACAATGAAACTTCGCGACATTTACACCTGGGAGTTTCGACATACTTTTCATGAAGCCAACAGTGATGAAGATGAAATTGAAGCACTTAACAATACTAATTATATTGACTATGTTTAAATGTTATTTGATGTACTTTAGACTAAAAAATTCGAACATCCACGCCCCTAGAATAAACTTTTGGCTACATCATGATTGGCAGGCATTAAAGGGTCATTAAATTGGGGAAAAAATGACACACAATGGCCACTAATTAGGTCGAAAATTTTAATTTCGTTAAACTTCTAAAAATGCTGCTATATATAAATATATATGGATGGGTGAGTTTGATCGAAAATGAATGAAACTGAATGAAAAAGATTCTCGAATTTCAGGATAAACCGATGCTAAAGAACTTAAGAAGTTGCCTTAGATTATCGATTGAAAAAAACGGCAATTTAGAGGAGTTGGCTATACTTTACTTAACTTTATTTATAATTACATTGTAGTACACGCATTCATTAATGGCTTTTAGGAAGTAATCAGGAAACTGGATGTACGACAAATTAACCTGAAGGGCGGGGGGGGGGGGGGGGGGGGAGGGGTAAACAGAAGCTGCCATCTCATCTTGATGCCTTACAAGAGTGAAATTCGTGTATCAAAGAGGAGATTTAGATGAGTACAAATAATTTACTCTTCAAGTTATGAGTGAACATTTATTTCGTGGTTTTTGTGTGATGCTTTTCAGCTTCGCTATATACCTGCCTTGCAATAAATTCTGCCCTATTGCGCCCATTCTTAAAACTACACATCTTTGACAGTAGGTGCAGAACAAATAAAGTGAACGGAATTCTGTTTTTCCTGTCACCATCCTTCCCTCCCCCCCCCCAGTGATGAGGAACGAAATGCTCCCCTTTCCATTATTGTTTAATGGTATTTACTGGCTCCACGTTTTCAGATTTTAGAGCATCAACAAACAACCTTAGGGCGAAAAAAGTGACGGAAAACTGAATCCAAATTGCTGCTTTTATTGCTACTTGATTTCAATTGCATTGCCACGAGAAATAGTATGCCAAATAGTTCGCATTCGTGGGTCATATGGCCAATAGTCTGTATAAGGATTAAAATTGGCGTTGAACATTCTGATCGTCTTATTTTCCATTCACCTGCAATTTTCTTTCTCTCATTCTACTTGTTAAGAGTGCCTTGTAGTAGTTAAATATCATATATATGATTCATAATTAGTCGCTTTATGTGGTAAGCGAAATTGTGTCGAGTATATTAATTCAATTAATATAAGTAAAGTTCTTACCAATTTAGCATGCCAAATATGTTAAACTTAGAAGAATGGCGTAGTGTTACTTGAATAATTCATTTTTTTAACTTTGGGAAAATGAGTGAAGTGAAACACATCATCCGACTCACAGTTTCAGATTCGAAAGCTTAGCCAACTATTGATTGATGATTAGCGATGACTGTGAGAAACGATCACAGTATTTGTTCTCATAACAATGAGTTAAGTTAATCCACATGTCCCTACGAACTTCTCTTTGCACAAAGATGTGGTAGGAACAAGAAACTGAATAAAGCATAAGAACCACATTAACAAATCTAAACCTATAGTCAAGTAACATGCAATACTATTAATCAAATTATGATAAGGTCACTCGGGATCGATTTCACATTGGTTAACGAGGATTGAGGAGGGTTTAATAAAACTGAATATTTGCGGGAGTAAACTCTAGTTAACCGTTCAACGTTCAAACCGAGTAAGTCAATATTATTGTTCTGCAAAATGGGGTGTGCGATAGACTTACCTCCACTTGGTGCACCCTGGGCAACGTATACTCATACGGCAAAAAAGTCTATTAACCGGCATTTGACTTTTGACTTCAAACTACCACGACCCCCCCTGGTTGTCATATTCGACCCCTTTCACAGTACTCACCTTACCTTTTTCTCTACCTTTGTGTCTGTCTGCCTCTTTTACATCTGCGAATCGCTCTTCTGTACCCCACCCCTCGACTTTCTACTTTGATGAACCTTCTCTCTGTGAAGCCCGAAGTCAGCTAAATGGCTAATGATATCTATCAAAACGCCTTCCATTTGAAATAAATAAATATACATATTCTGCAAAATGTATTGGTCAATCAAATAAAAATCTACACCGTACAACTCAGGATGAGAGTTCGTCACTTTGAACCGGGTTGTAAAAGGCCCTGTTTCTTGAAAATCAATAAACCAAAAATTTCCTTTTTGTTACTGCTTTCTTCCAAGATGACTCTAATAGAGACCGAGAAATATGGAACTTTTTTTGCTTCAGGCTGAAATTACCCAATTTACACTTCTCCTACCTGATTACAAATCATACCTAAAACATGACCTTGCGTTTAAGTGAGCATAAATAATAATATGCGATATGATTGATTCGGCAAGTAAAGTGAATGACCATGCTCAAGGTAAGTGTGGTAAGATGATCAAAAGATCATACGACGCTCATCCTAAATCCAATTATTGGCTTCGCATTATTTAATAGAGTTATTCTTACTCAGAGCATCACAAAGCACTTGGATTTTCCTGCCTTAAGGACTCATGCACGCAATTAAGACAACTTGTGATTGGACAGTGCATTACAAGGACACGTGTCCAAATGCTCGCATTTATCATTACCCTTTGTGTAAAGCTTGAGGAGAGAGAGAGATGATTTATAGCTAAACGAAATATGACTCATTATGTGTAAATAGAAAGACGATTACTTTGTGGTTAGAAGAAGGGAGGGTATTTATTAGCTAAAAAAAATTCACCGTCAATTCATTTTATGAACATTCCAACAACAATCTAAGTATAGTGACTTTAATGACTGAATAATATTTTAACAAATGCACCCAACCGCGCTCACGCGTGTCTCACAGCAGTAGACTGATGCCGCAGACGTGATGAGTTTTGGTAGTACCAAATAGACAATTCACATTTAGCTATCGGTTAATTAGCAAAGCGGGAATTACCTCCATGCTTTATTCAAAAAGGTAAAATAGCACTTTCAGTAGAAAATGCAGCTTTGCCAGGTAAAAAAAGATAATGGATAAGAAGTCAATGTATTCAAAGGAAAATATCATTACCTATACCAAAAAGTGCACTTTAAACTCAACCTAAAGTGCGCCTGCAATATGGACACAGACAGAAGCCAAATGACGCTTTCTTTCAAATGTTAGTAGCACGGTTTCCTACCAGGTAGTAAAAAATAGAACTTTGTATAAAATAATACCAGCACAATAACAGTAACATTATTCAACATGTCGGCTGCCTTAACACAATGAAACAGTTTTTTTTCCAACGGAAACAAAACGGACTAACAATTTTGGATGACTCATTCAAGAAGTTTGGCATGTGGATGAATGTCTAATTCCAGTTGACATTAGTAGAAGTCACTAAGCAATGGTGCATAAAAGTTAATTAAATAAGAATTTATGCCCCCAAATAGCTCAAAATTTAACTAAGAAATAATGGAATGTTAGTGGATAAAATGAACTTTACAATAATTTGCATAAAAGGACATAATACCATTTACTAGGTAAGCAAATAAAGGCATTAGGAAATAATTTTCAGCAACAAAGTTAAATATTTAGAAAAACGAGCACATACCCAGATAATCCTGTCGCAGCTTTGGATAAACGAGCAAGGATTTTTGAGAGTCCTTTAGCATAGTCATTTTCCAATTGGACCCTATTAATAGAGGGAATAAGCATCAAGGAATTACGACACAAAAACCATACGCAATTTTTCTACGATAATCAAGAGAATGCTCTAAAAATAGAATATGAATTTGCCTTACTGGAAGGAGATTTGAAAACTAAATATTATGCTAATGAGGAATAGGGGAAGCAAACGCTGGGGCAAATCAGCACATGTTTAGTCGCTAATGGCAACGCGATGAAAACTAATTTACATGGTATGATTAGGGAAATGACTCATAAAACAAGTTATAAGTTAGTAATATTTTTAGTAAATTAATATGAACTAACCTTTCTTGAAGAACGCTTATTAAAACACGTGTAAATTGGCAAGAAGTTTTGAATTCCTTTTGAAGGGCGTCAAATCCAGAGCGATCCTAGAAAGTAAGCAAATAAGAAAAGTTTTAAAATATAATAGGAAGAAAACCAAGATGAAAATACAATATATAAATATTCATTAATTTCAAGCATACAAGTATGATAAACAATGCCTTAGATTGCAAAAGTACTGACAGAAAAGAGAATTATTCTTTTATAAAATATATAAAAATTACAAGCAATTTTTAAGAAGTTGCATAAGGCGATATATTGCTACTATATTCGCTAAACTCACTAGATACGAACTAAAATAATAGTAAAGGCAACGGATAAATTGCAAGCAAATTAAAAGAACAGTTTTATGGAATCATACCAAGACAGCTGACGAAATAACAATAATAAAACCAAGCAATCAATGAAGACCTGAGTAAAATTCTAAGCAATTCAATTTAAATAAGATTTAAAAATAGTTGATACTATAACTTACAAAATACTCTGTTTTCTTATTTCCTATAGAAAGCATTCTAAGATGCCCAGACCCGTCTTATGCTACTCCATGCAGCGTATTGGTTGATTTGTTATTGGCGCAAACATAATCGAGGTTAGAAAGGACATGAATTAAATTAACTTATGAAAACAAGATGCAATAGAATGAAAAATGCGTTAGTTTTGAATTTACAGCAAACGCGTAGATAAAATAATTTATTAGAGAAATATTGCAGAGTCGATAGATTGTTTATAGATAAATAGACAACTGACAACAACGAATTTTTAAAACGAATGATTAAAGTGACAAATTTATTCTTCTTTAACGAAAATTTTGAATTATATGTAATTAACACTATTGACTGTATTCTGTCGTTTACTAGTTGCTTTGTCAACTTGCAAAAATACTTCGTTATTGAGGGCCTAGTCTCTTTAAATTAAGCTTTGTCACTTAATTCCTTCTTCTTTAACAGAAAGAAGCTTTTATTATTACTTAACTTGTCATGTGATTGAATGAATAAATCATGAATTTTTATTAAACCTCGTTATATTGTTCAAAGAATAATAAATAAATAAATAAATAAATAATAAATATTTTTTACTGAATAGACGAAATATTCGATTATATTGTTTTCTAGATCGTGGTACAGTTTGGTGTGCATAAGTACCATGAGTTCGCGTAATCCAAAATTAGCCCAACAAATTTTGGAGAAAAATTTGTCCAAAGCAAAAGCGGATGTAAACTTCTAACCATTTAAATGTGATTTCATTTTATGTAGGTACATAGGGCAACTTTTATGTACCTTTTCTCTGAGATGGTTAAGTACGCCATGCATTCCTCCAAAAACGTAGATGATGCTCAAGCTAAGTGAGTTTGCAATTCTTCCTTATATGAGGTGTTTAATTTGTATTTAATTTTATCTTTTTAATTTAAGGCTAGCGTCGTTTGGTGCTCCGATTGGAAGACAAATGTTAGATCTGATCTTTCTTCGGGATAAACTCCAGAAACGTGAGATTCGCCTCTTGGGTTTCCTTTTATTCCTTAAGAGCACGTTCTGGCGTAGCATTTTCGGGAAGGAAGCTGACGATCTGGAAAAAGATGGATTAGACGAGCGCACCTGTATGACATCAGTCTTGTACTTATCCCTTTGTTTTAGATTATATGATAGAACGGGAGCCTTTTGTCAGTAAATTCACCCGTTACACGTATGAGCCCTCAGAATCTGAAAGGAAGGCTGGTACGTTTACTTTGTTCTACCTGTTTATTACTGTTTTTCAACGTCCTAAGGTTTCGTATCTCTTCAATAGTTCCACTTAATCTGGCTGCCTTTAATTGTGGCATTATTGAGTCTGCTCTCAGCAGCGCTGGTTTTGTGAGTTATGAACTATATAACTGTTATTAATGTTATTTTCTTGCATTTCTGATTTGCTTTATTTTTTCAGCCATGTAAAGTTGCGATAACGTGGCACAAGGGAACTACATATGTGATCAAATTCCATGAGTCGGTTATTGCTAGAGAACATAACTTGGATACACGATAATGTTTTAAGATATTGCTTCTGTTCTTTCCTATACTCTTTTCCTGTGATACTTTGTGTATAATAAAGTACTTCTCTTAACTGCATATATTTCCTTGCATTTTAAGCGACTTAGAGAACGTTTGTAGATTTTAAGTTTTATTATTTTTAAACATGCATTGCTAGATTTCTGTGTGCCAACTACTACTAACCGTTCATCTTCCCTCAAACCAAACTTACTAACGCTTGTACTTATTAGTGTGCTATTTTTTCGTCTCTACGTAGCTAGAAGTTTTATTTAAATCGTAATTCATAATTAGCAAGCTCTTTCTGAATTTTCTCTAACCGTCTAACTTGGGTAGAGAGAGGATATTTAAGTAGCTCAAATCTCGCCAGTAAGTTTAATGTAGGAACCAGTCCTACTGAGAAGATCGTTAATCAATCAGAATCACTTGTTTATTGGACAGCCAGATAGATTGAATGAAGCAAGTTATCGTATTACGGGCACCTCGGCATGCAATAAGCAGGCGTAATGGCGTCAAGGCAGGGTGGTTGATAATTCCCTCGTTCTTTGCTGGTTGATAGGCAACTGACAATTTGGACAGAGGAATGGGTCGGCAGTGGACATTATTCTAATACAGCTCCTTTGAAAAAACTAGCATGCTGCCACACCTCTCCTTTATCAGAACCTACCATTGTGACTGACTGTGCATGCATTACCTTTGCCCACAAGAATTATCCACCAGTCAGCTTGAGTTCATCTTTGAACTTTAATAGAATCCTCAATCTCTGAGGCCAGTGTAAGCTAATTGGCCGATCGCCAATATTATCGGATTTCTAAAACTTCAACATCCATTATCCAATTATTAGACAAACGGAGATGGAAAATTAAGTGCATTTATCACCCTAAAAGCAAGATCACATTGATCTGGCTCCATTAATATTCACTTTTGCTGTCTCCATGTTCACCAGTATGAATGTAAGCTGTCAATCATCGTATTTGGTAAAGTGTAGCAAACACAAAAATTTGATGTTAGCTTTAGAGAAATGCACACCGCATTCGATTATATCAGTCTCACTTCTCACTACACAGTGGTTCTACCTTCCAACACACTTATTCATTACCCAATGCTGTACAGTGGTGCAATAGAATTAATCTCATTATAGTGGTTGCCTAAAGGTGGTACTGTGACTCAGGATGGTGTATTTAAATAAAATGTAAGAGATTCGCACGTCATTGGTGCCCATGAAATTAACCCTTTGAAGAACAGAGGTTTTATTTATTTATTTCAAAGGGCAGGCATTTTGATAGTTATCATTAGCCCCTTAGCTGACTTTCAGCTTCACAGAGTGGAGAAGGAACATCAGAGTGGCAAAAAGAGTCAGAATAGCCAAATATTGTTGAAATGGTGATCTGAACTGTTTATTTTCCGCTATAGGGTGAAATAAACAGACTGTAGCTGCATAAATATCACTTGTGTGGGTTAGAGTGGGGATGTTGGTTGCAATTTAGAAGACACTGAGGTTGGGTGGAAGATAGAAGGACGAGAAGGAAGCACTTATTACTTCAGTAGACACGTAACCAAAAAATTTGAATTACCACTGTGCGAACTATCTTTGTGCATATTGTCACTATTCCATTCGCACATTGCATTCATGAGGTAGAGTTAAGGAAGTGAAGTTATCTAGTTGGTTGGTTGGTCAACGAGCTAATTCTGCCCAGAGCCCTCGTTCGCCGTCAGTCTCCTGGTCACCACCGGGAGTCTCTTGCCTGCTCCTGTTGGTAGGAGTGAATTGAGAAGGCGGCGTGAATGCAGGAGGCTGACGTTACCACCCAGGA